AGGCTAGTTGCACAGGGTTGCTGTACCCATGAGGGTGGGAAGGTCAAACCCCCAGGCGCAGGGAAGGGAGTTGGCTTGGTGCCAGAATGCCCCCTGGGCATTAGAATTCAGAGGATGGAAAGTCTGTCCGCGTAGAACAGGAGACTGGGCTGTTGGGATGCTGGAGGACTACAATTTGGGTGACTCATTTGTAGAGAATGGCCACTTTGTAATGGACCACAAGCTAGGTAACACAGATCAGAGATACACCTGCCCTGGAGTGGCATAACTTTAAGCTGCCTACAGTGTGCTTCAAACTAGTTTCAGGAGTTAATGTGGGGACAATCTAGGGGTTAAGAACTCTGGGGGCTACCTAAAATTAATGTGTAACAAGGACCAATGAATACTTGGTAGAAGTAATTATTTCCACTGTACCATAAAAGTGAATGAGGTAACTGTAGCTTACAGGTCTTTGCCTTGAGGCTTTTGCAAGCTAAATTACATTTATCAGACTCCCTGCCCCTGATTCTAATTCATGTGGGGCTGAGATTTTATGTTGTAACATGCTGGCACTATTATAATACCCTGAAATCTGATCTACCATGTCCCAGAGAGGTGTGCACTGGGGGGATGTAATGATTATATTTGTGAGGTATCAAAGTAAACAGCCAGCTGTGTTTCCATAGCATGGTAAATTCAAATTAAAAAAACCCAACAACAACATGTTGCTATTGTGACTGTGATTTTGTTGTCTAACCTAGAAGCTATGTCTGTGAAACATGCAGTCTAATCTGGTAGCTGCAGCCAAACAGAAACAATAGCTACAAGCAGTGAAAACTGCTTTGGTGGTGGCAGTCTAGACAGTTGCCTTGGACAGTTTCTCCCTTTTTCTTCTTGCTAATTTGCAGAAGGCTTTTTCATGTACAAGGTCTCTCTCACCAGCCTAACTAGCTAAGGTGTACCTGTGGTTACTTTTGCAAGAAGACATGAGGGTGATGTTCCTGAGGATTGATGTTATCCATAAAAGTTTCAGGTACTCAGCATGCAGCTTTCTTGCATCTTCTCATGAGTTCTTTAGTTTACAGGTGTCCAACAATGACTTATCTGTCTGCATGTAAGAGGTCCCCAGATCAGAAATTTGAGCTCTTGCATTCCTGTCTGCATTCTTATCTATATGCATTTACAACTTAATCTAAAGGGCAGCATGTCATTTTGAAAATTTACCCCCAACTCTTACTGAAAGTCCGTTGCACTTAAGTGTTTTTGAAAACTGCAGCCCAAATGAGCCTTGGGTGGCATGAGCATCTGCACTGAAAGAATGGCTGGCACTAATAACTTTGGTTTTGCATGATAAGAGATCACATTCAGGAAACCTCTTTTTTAAGCTGCCATGTATTGGCAAAATAGGTGAACTGAATTGCCACAGAGTTTATAATTTATGTAAACCCTCCCTCCTCCTGCCCCCCCCATAAATTCTTAGACCTTGGACCAACATCATTACTTAATACAATTATTAAAACCTCAAAGGTTCTCTAATTAAAATGGGCACTTGCCCATTGCAGAACTGGGGATGAGAGAGTGGGAAAGCTGTTTCAAGGAATTGGCTATTGCTCCTGAACGATTTGTCAGCCTCAGTTCCAGAAAGGGTAACAATAATAGTAGACTATGCATTGCTTTAGTTTGCAACAGAAGGCAAGGCTACCCACTGGGACTATTTGCCATCTGAGAATGTCCAGAATATATCAATAGCCTTGCACACCTATTGCCTGCAGCACACCACTTACACATGGGTCAGCATCAGAAAGGTAGATTTAATATCTGCTAGTGGCAGGACACTGTTGGTGCCTGCCACTTTAAGGGCTGAGCCAAGCAGCCAACAGGTGCTTGATTGTGGTGGCCATTTTAGACCTCTGGCCACCTATATAAAGAGAACAGTTCACTGCTGGCAACATCTTGGAGGTAAGGGCTGGAGCTGTAGGGGATGGTTTGGAGGCTCCTGGTCCTGGGCATGACATAAAACTGCACCCTGCCAGGAGTGGGTGGCCTGGTGGGGCTCCCAGTAGCATGGGAGCCTCCAGAAAATGTTAGGCCAGTTACTACCCCAGTAAAAGGCAAGTTGGGGTGCCTTAATAACCCCAGCTCCCACAACCAGGTGGATTACCCCAGAGAAGGTTCAAGAAGGTAGACCCAAGTTAGAGAGAGGGCTCAATGCTCAGAGACCTGACTTGAAATCCCTTGACTGGTCAATGCTGGGGCCAGGACCGGAAGGGTCAAAAGCACCAGGGGCCCACCGTGAGAGATGCCTAGAGCTGAGGGCCTGGGGTTTCTGACTGTCCTTGGAGGTGAGGCCAGGACCTGTGTGGCCAAAGGTCCTGAGGGGGAACACACCTGAAAGGGGGAACAGTTCAGGGAGCTAGGCAGCCCAGAATGACAGTGCAGTAGGCTACCTGAGTGGAGAGATCTTGTAGGGGTCTGGACTGGAGGATTCTGGGGCCCAGTGTGGGGCCATTGAGGTTAACAGCTGTGGATGCCATCTGTGAGGCTTGGGCTGTGGCATAGGGAGGAATGGAGCCACAGATAGTACCCCCAGGCATCAGGGCAAGAACTGGGCAGCCTCCCGCCTAATTAACATCCTAATTAGATATCATCAAGGCATGGCAGACGAGGAGGCAGGCAATTGCCCCAGAAACAGGTGGGCGGGCCATTGGTAGATCAGCCCTGAGAAGGCCCCCTGTTACACTGCTTATGCTAGCCTTTTACATTGGTGAGAATTCTCTGTGTATTAATAATTCTGAAGAACCTGTACGGGGCCAGGATCTGTCCTCTTCTGACCTTTCTATTGATGCAAAGTTTCTAGATTGAGTTTTAGGGAGAAAATTTGGTTCATTGGCTTTACACTAAAAGGAATGACTGGGAGTACACTAACATAACCAGGAGCTGCTTTGGGTTATCGAGATGTCAGAAGAACAGCTCCTGTTTTTGGCATAGGCCCTTGGAAAAGCATTGCTGTATCACTGTAACAGAAAGCTTCCACTAAATTTAAAAAAGATGACAACAAATATTTGCTCCTGGATCAATTCTGTTTAAAGTGCAATGTGTGTAGCCAAGCTCTGACACAGGAAGGTGAGGTACAGTATCCAGGCTCTGTTATATAAGGCCAGAACAATATATGCTGGAAACCTGACAAGAAGGCTTTACAGCTTAGAAGAGAAAAGATAAGGGTGATTTTTAGAGAACAGACCATGGAGACCTTACTAATTTTTGCTCTTGTAATGAGTATTTTCTCTTGTTCAGGTAAGTTTTTTTCAAAACTGAAGGCATATCCATTTTCACTGGAAAGCTGGCTACATGATGTGTACTTGCTTTTAATGGGACTGTAATATACTTGACTCAGGGCTACCGATGTATGACTACGAACCATCCATCACAGAAAATGCTTTGAATGCCTCCATTGCAAGAGTGAATTTTAGATTGCAAGGGCGCAATCTCTTTGGTGTCATCAGGAGCTATGTTAGAAGGGTAAGTGTGGAGTTGGCCAAAAAACATTTCACTGAAATGGGCTTAATGAACAACACCTTTTCAACCAGAAAAATCTTTCTTTTGATTGAAGTTTTCTGGTTTTCATCAAAACTTCTGATTTTGGGAATGTTATTTGAATGCAGTTTTTTTGAAAAACCAAAACTTTGTTATACTTGTAATAAGAAGAAATTTAAAAGTGGGCGGGGTTCAAGTTTCCTTGAAAAATAATTGGAATTTTCAACCATCACCAGGTAATTGCTTTCTATTTCTGGCTCATTTGAATGTTTCTAGTCCAATCTATAATGTTTACTTGATGCACTTACCCATCTCCTCCATATCTCCCATCTACAAAGATTAAGTATATTCAGTTTGTGTGTAGTATCAGGGCAGTGATTCCACAGTTCATGTGTAGATGTTATGCTCAGTTTAAATCTGCCTTCAGTGCCATATAATTTCCTCAGATAATTAGTTCTTGTTTCCTAGCATAGATTTTCTTGCATGGAATTTTTTTACATGGAAAAAAATGACACTCCCCCCCCTCAACCCCCGGCCCCCAGTGTTCAGAGAAGGTGATGACCTCATTAACAAATTTAAAATGCTTGTGTACGTGGTCAACCCCAAAATTATTTTGTCTCTAAATATTAAACTTGGTACATATCTATACCTGCATGTGGAGCAGTGTCGAGGCTGTGGCTGAATAAATCTCGTATGGCAGTCTAGTACTGCCAACCAGAAGGTACTGAAGGCTAAGGGGAAGTACTTCAAAGTGTTCCTGCAGCGGAAGTGTCTACTAGACTGGGAAGAAAAGGAGACAAGACTTTACTAAATATCACAGCAAGCTTCCTGAAGTGGGATATTTCTTTCTAGCAGGTACTATTCAACACTTATACTGGCAACAATAACACAGTTTTATCTTACTGGATGCTTAAATTGTTGTCAGTGCCTAAAGGCTACAGTCAGTTTTGGGACCAGGTGCGTAGGCACTCACTCAACACTGCATCATTCTTTTTTTAATCTGGTCATGTTGGAAGTTAATTGTTGCACAGTATGCATTTGATTCATGAACTAAAACAATGAGATGACAGATATTTAAATATCTGCTGGCATGAATCAATTATCAGAGAGAGGTAGTTAGCTGTGATAATCTGAAATCGGTCAGAAGAAAGGGTAGATGCACACTTTCATAGACTTACTAAATAAGATTTGAGAGAGATAGTGATTGAGTGCACAAGCTTTTGTTAACCCAAGTTCATGTCATCAAATGCTGTGAAAAGCTTATGAATCAATTATCAATTATAACATGAGCAGCAAGTTGCAGCTGCGGAAGCTGTTTGGCAGAGGAAAGCCATGGAAGATTTATTTCAAAGTCAGTTGTTTGCAGTTAAAAAAACCTGAATAGCTTTGATTTATTCTGGTGTGACAATTTTCCTATACATAAGGTTACTCAGTATGCATTTACTGTTACTTACTATTAATCTTTGTTCTTTGTTCTTTGTTCTTGATACTCTCCCAAGACAATGCCCACTCAGCTTCGGATGACCTGTTGGTAATGTTAACATCAAACAAGATGTCCACAATTCAGCAAACAAAATGGGCCCTCATTGCACCCAGGTTCCCATTAAGGAGAATGGAATGCCTCAAAGTTCACCCTGTACTTGAATGTATTGATCAGATGTTCCTTTTTATAGCAAAGCATTTGAACAAGCAGAGTTCATGCCTAGGCTGTGTTGTCCCAGCTTTGAGCAATAGGAGTGTTTCACATGTAAAATTCAATGACCAGGGCAGGGAAGGAACTATTTTACTAAGCAATTTGGATTTTGCTATTTTTACTAATTTTACTAAGCAATTTGAAGGAAGCAATTTGCTCTCTCAAGCAATTTGAGGGAGACTCGAGAGCAGTGGTCTCCAAACTTTTTTGATCATGCACCTCTATCAGTAAAAAAATGTTGAGCATGCCCCCCCAACATATGTATACGTATATTTATAGAAATAGAAGTTCAAATATTTTCTTCCAGCACCCCAATGGACCGTCTTGCGCACCCCCTGGGGTGCACACACCCCACTTTGGAGATCATTGCTCTAGAGAGCTGGAGTTCCATGATATGCACTTCTTAGGCCAGAACATGTTATCTGAGGCTTCTATAAATGGGAGATGTTTGGTTGGAAGACAGTGCCATTCACAAAAACAAGACTTGGTGGTGAGGGTTTACAAAATGGAGACACAAAAATATCTTGACTCCATGTCAGTGATATTCTGCTCCAAATGGGATACTGACCTAAGAAGGCCTTGATTTTTGCTACAACTTGGCAAAAAAGCAACTGTGTGTTGGTCAGTTATTCTGAATGCTATTGGCTGCTCCTTTGTATGCAGGTTGACCTGCTTGATGGCAACAGCTACAACATAATACTGGATTTCAATATTCAAGAAACCACATGCTCTAAAGATTCAGAGAGAGACCCATCTACCTGTGACTTCAAAACAGGGCCCTATGCGGTGAGTGCAAGTTTTGTGTCTTTTTAATCAACATTAGTGACAATGATTGACAGTGACATATGCCTAAGCAAATGCTTAACCTGAAGCATTAACCAAATGGTGTTTGAGCACCAGCAACACTGTGGATTTGTTTTTCAGTTAACTGGGAGGAGGTGAGGAGCTGAGGTTTGATCTGAGAGCTGGTGGACTTGGCTTGACTTTGGGTTTAGTCTGTATGTGTTTGGAGACACAGGCTGGCAGTGTAAGTTTCACAACAAATACTAGAAAGTAATTACCAACATACTGAAGGTCTAAAAAACTCCTATTTGACTTTTCCTTGTCACATATAATTCAGATGGATGAGAGAAATGTGCCATTCTGATTTTGCACTCAAAAACCCCATCAATATTCAACAATCAAAATCAGGTAATGTGGAGGGAATGGGGAAGTGCTCATAGGCATGGTTCTGGGTCAGATCCACCTTCTGAAATATCTGTAAGCCTCAAAACATAACAGGCAGTAATTCTTCAGGGTTACATCAAACTGATGACAAGATAATCAAGTCATTTGCTTACTGCATTATCATAATCTCTACTCAGAGAAATGTATTTAGCAGCCTTCTTTCCCCACTTACAGTGCTAGGAGCTCCGAACCAGTTCATGTGCAAGGTAAAGGGCAAAGAGAGGTGACTGAACCAAGCAAACATTATTTTGTATTTCCGCTCTGTCAACATAGCTGCCATGCTGAAAGATACTTTTTTAGGAAAAAAAATCCATGGCAGAAGATTCTCTATTACCTTTTGCTTTCAGTGAAGAAAACAATCATAGATTATAAAATCAGATGTGGTCACTATGATCTAGTCTCACTTCCCATATGACAGTTTATTGGACTTCCCTGAGTTACACTCTAAGTCAATCAAACTTTATCTTCTAGAATGCATTTAATCTTGATTTAAAAATTCCCAGTGGTGAACAATCCTCTACAGTTATTAGCAAGCTGTCCAAAGAGTTAATTCCCCTGATTCTTAAAAAAAATTGCACCTTATTTCTAATTTGAATTTGTTTAACTTCAACCTCCACGCAGTGGATTTTTATTTATAACTTTGTCAGCTAGACAGAAATAACCATCCCAAGATTGTTTCAGTCATTGCTACCCAGGAAAGTGTCGTAAGTCCTACTGTGCTATAGGATGAGCATAACTGTGGAAAACAATGGCTTGGAGGATAATTACATTTTATTAAACACCAGTGTTTATTTGATATTGTCCAACCAGCACTAGTCTAGTACAAAAAGCAACTGTAGCTTAAGGTTACTTTCTTCTACACACTTTCTCGTCCTGAGCTATGCTGCATGCTAACCTATTTCTTAGAATAAAATAGATTGGAAACTACTTCATGTCCCATTAATCCTGCTCATTCTGCTCTGGCAGCAAAAGAGAAGTACAATAACAGATACTTCACCAGATTTTCAAAAGGCCAGATCCATCAAGCTTATCACTGCTTGTGCTACTGGGCCCATCCACAGCACCCAGAGGGCAGCTGAGAAGCTCACCCAGTATTTTGACTTTTTCCCTACCGTTTGATCTTCTTTCATCTTCACTTTGTCAACTTGATTTCAGTGACATAAAACTGCAACCATGGTGCTACTTCATGAATTATCACCCATGGAATCCTGAACTGTAGACATTGGGTGAATATGAATTTGTTGCTTTGCTACTTACTGGCCAGCTTGCCAGCTCCAGCTGAAAGACTAATGCCAAGTAAGCCCCAAAAGCCCATCTAAGAGCTAGCCCTTGAGTTACAGGTTTGACTGTGGTGGCTCTTGAATCTGGGGTAAACCTTACATCAACTGTAAGTACAGCTCCTTTGAAGACAAGCCCCCAGTGCTTATTAATTTTTTTCAAGAATATCTGTTAGCAGAGCGTGCTGAAGGGATTTCATCACAGAGCTACTCCAAAACCAAGACTTACATTTATATGATTATTGTGGCACCAAACCTGCAGTGCCTGCCACTTTAACGGCCATTGAACAGCCAGCAGGGCAGCTGGCAGGTGCCGGGTAGGCCTAATGAGGTGGTCATCTGGCTGCAGGATGGCCCTGGGATTGGAGGAAGGGGCTGAGCAGCCTCCATTTTAGATCCAGGCCCTCAGGGCTGTGACAGCAGTCTGCTGCAAGCAGTCAAAGAACAACAGCTGGATGAGCTGCTGCTCAGAACATCCTGGAGGTAACGGCAGGAGCTATGGGGATGGCAGGAGTCTCCTGGTCCTGGGTATGACTGAAAACTGCACCCTGCTAGGGAAGGATGGCCTGGTGGGACTACCCGTGGTGGGGCAGTTTCTCAGAAATGCCAGGCCAGTTGCTTCTCCAGTAAAAGGTGAGTAGGGGTGCCTGTCTCTGGACACCTGAGCCCCATGGGGTACCAGACCTCAGTAGAAAGTGGGGGCTAGGCACACCTCTGAACACCTGAGCCCCAGGAGGTACCAGACCCCAGTAGAAAGTTGGGACAGGCACATCTCCAGACACCTGAGCCCATAGGAGGTAAAGACCCCAGTGGCCTCAATGGGGTGAGGGGCATAGTGATTCAAGTAGAGAGTGGCCTGTATACAGTAGGGTGCATGTAGAATACCTGAAGTGCTCTGCGTGTTTGGTTTGGTGTAGAGTAGGGTCTGATAAGGAGGACATGAAGAGCTGTACTGGGGGTGTGCTGAGTAGGGGGCAAGAGTGCGACCTGAAGTGCAACACATGGGCCAGTCCCCATGAGAAAGTGACTTAAGGGTGAATCCCCAAAGAGGGGGCAGCCAGGCCCAGGTAAGTCTACAGAAGCCTGAGGTTGCAATTGGGCCAGAGGCCATGTTTGTAGTAAGATTCAGATCTGCCAGGGTAAGCGCACAATGACCGTGTGCTCCAGGGTGGAGTGAGAGTCCCAGTGAGACTCTGGAGCACCAGTCATGGTGTGAGGCACTGTAATGATTTGGATGACAACTTCGAGGCATGGGACATGATAAGGGAAGGTTGGAGTCGTGTGTATCACCGTAGGCATCCGGCATTAAAATGGGCAGCATCCCACCATTTACATCAATCTTTTATACAACAAGTCATGGTTTGCAAGAGTTGGGCAGACTGCCCAGAACAGGTGAGTGGGCCGAGGATGTTTCCTGGCCCTGAGTAGACAGCCTGTTATAAAAATACTGTGATTTTTTTTCCAGATTCAGGGCTCTGGTTGTAAATAATGCTCTTGCTCAAGTCCCTAGTCTTGGTACACAGGCTTTTTCTAGCCAGCTGTCTTTGTCTGAATCTGAAATAAACTTGTACGGTAGCCTATGCAGCCATATGGATGAACTCTATTTCAATCCATTACAGCAAGCTGCTTTCTGCAGAAGTACAGTGTATGTCTCTGATGAACAGATTCAGAACTTGGCAGTCCGTTGCCACCAGGACTCGTCGAGCTCAGAATCTGCAAGCAGTGAAGAGGTAAGCAAAAGAAAATCCCCTTGCTATGCCCCTTAATCTAGATGGTAATTTCTAGGGCTGTACAAAATGGCTGTATTTCATTTCAGTTTTAGATTCAGCCATTTTGGAGGACAGTGATCCGTTTTGGTGTTTTGGATCACTGTTCCATTTTGATTTGGCCAAATCTGTTTTGGAGTTTCAGCGCTGATTTGGATTGGCTGGGGAGAGGCAGGAACAGCCGGGTGGCTGCAGGTTCTCCCACGGCTTCTCCAGCTGTGTCTGCCTCTGCCCCAGTGGGGGGAGCTGCAGGAGAAGCCCCAATGGCTGCCCAGCCTGATCCCCCACCCGGCCCCAGTCAGCTAGAGCCCAGCACCACCCAGCCCCAGTAACCCCAGCTCCCAGACAGTGCCCAACACCCTGCTGAGCTGAGCTGCACCTACACCATGGGGCAGCTGCTGTGCAGATGCCAGGTGGAGGGGGTAATCCCTGCTGCCCCCCACTGCCCCATGTTGTGCAGGGGGACTCTTCCATGAGCCCTCAGAGGCCCTGGACACCGCTGCTGCAGCCAGTGAGTATGGGGCTTTTTGTTTCGTTTTTTTTTAAAGTGGTGGGAGGCTGGGGCCAGGTGGGGGATGGGGCCAGGCAGAACAGCCATGGGGGCTTCTCCTGTGGCTCCTCCAGCTGTGCCTGCCTCTGCATGGGTGGGGGGAGCTGCGGGAGAAGCCTCTATGGCTGTCCTTCCTGGCCCCATGCCCCACCTGTCCCCAGCCTCCTGGCACTTTAAAAGGAGGGCTGCGGGGCTGCACTGGGCTCTTCCTGGGGCGCGCCCCAAAACATTCCAGAAGATCTGAAACATTTTGGATGGCTTAATTTCATTTTGGAGTTGTTTCACAGCCTTCCATTTAGTTTCAGATTTGGTGTTTCGGGGGCCGAAACAGACCAAAACACCTCCAAAACGAAACAGCTGCCGAAATTTTGCACAGCCGTAGTAACTTCTGCCTGATACAAATGCTTTGTCCTCCTCCCTTTAACATTTAATGGGAGTGGATGTGCATATTTGGAGACAGAATTTGTAACTTGACCCTATAATCTGCTCCATCAACACAGTGAGGGCTTAGGACAAATACCTAAATCTTAGGTGGCAGAATCTCAGGGTAGTTTAGGAAAGTAATTGCCTTTTCCACATTTTACGGATCCGGGGGACTGAGGCAAAGATGTGAGGTGATGTGAGTTGCCTGAGGTCAGCAGCAGCAATGGCCAATTTAGGAATACAACCCAGGTCTCCGACCAATGCTCTACTCAACAGACTCGTTGGTTTTAAACTTCTTTGCCTACAAACCCCTTTACCAGCAAAACATTGCTGTGTGTAACCCCTACATCTGAAGCACCTCTGCATTTTCATTCCTTAGGAAGCATGTTGACACTGATATCAACATGTGCAGTGCCATTTCTCACCGTGTATTGACCAGTCAGAAACTCTATTGCTATCATTAAAATGAGCACATACCCCTTGGCAAAGTACTGCATACCCCCGAGGGAGGGTGAAGAGGGAAATGGACCCGAGTTTGAAAACCATTTTGCACTAAACCATACTGCCTCTCTCGCCAAATGTAGAGATCACTTCAGGGCTGAAAATAAAATAATCTTTCAGCAAAGTAAAGAATACCTCTCTATGCAAACCAGCTTTGACACACCTGACAATGTGCTCTCTCTCTCTCTCTCTCTCTCTCTCCCTCTCTCTCTC